CCCGGGCTCAATTCCCAGCAGCCACATGGCAGCTCACACCTGTCTGTAACTCCAGTCCCAGGGAATCCAACACCCTCACACAGACATACATGCAGGCAAAAACACCAATGAATGTGAAATAAAAACAAAAAAAGAAACTCTTTAGTCCAGGTGACTTGCACAAAACCTAGTAATGCAGGAACAAGACAGACATTGGTGAACTTTGAGAATGAATGAATGATTCAGTAAGTAAAAGATGATGTCTTTTATCAAGTTATTTAAATAAGCTTTCACTAAAATGAATTCCTTGGGAGGTGACATCATTGTTAATAATTTTAACTGTGAGATTTCTTATATAAAAATGAATTGAATTTTTTAACAAGGGTGCAGTATACTTGGTTAGAGTTTTTACTATCTTAGCCTCCTCCTGCTTCCTGTCGGAGGTGTTCAAGATGTAGGCCTGGCTTGGTGGAGAGCTGCTGCTGAACCAGGCTGTAGCCATCTCAACCCGGAAGCACCGCCGAGTGCCTCTGCTGCGACAGGCCCATGCAGCCTCTGTCCCAGACAACGGGTCACTTCCAAGGACAGAAACTGCTTCGCCAGTGGCAGACTCTGCCGTAGCCCCTCGGGACTTTTCACATTCGAAAGCCACTTTCTACTTGGAGCTCCTTGTACCTGGCACAGCGTTCCCCTGTGTCCCTCTGAGAATGCCGTGTTCTCTGTGGCGTCCTCACACCGCAAGCTCCTGTCCTCACAGAAGGTCATCAGTAGCATTAGCTGTTTGCCCTGTGACAGTTTCAGAATGTGTGTGTGTGAGAGAGAGGTATGTGTGCATATGTGGGTGTGCAAACAGTCATGTGTGAATGCCGCTGTGTGCCTCCTCGTGTGGAGATCCGAGGGCATCCTCGAGTATCGGCCTCACCTTCCACCTTATTTTTGAGCAGGTCTCCTTGCTATTTTCCCTCTGAGTACACCAGACGGCTCGTGTCTCCTGTCTCCACTTCCCTGTGGGCTTTTGTGGGGGTTCTGGGGTGGGGTGTCAGAGGGCTCACTCACTCCCGGTGAACACCCCCCAAGAGCACCCTTCCTGCAGAGCCCCAGGGCCCCTTTGCAGGATGACAAATTAGTTTGTGTCGTCTCCACCTTCTGGATTGCCATCGGTGGAATGTTCTACTGTGAATGTCACCATCTCAGGTCCAAACAGTCATGTGTCAGACAATAAGGACACAGCACCCTGTCCTTCCCTTTCCTGCATTGTGTCTGCGCGTGCAATTGAGGCTTCAAGCTGCCGTGGAAGCGTCTTGTCACAGCATCTCTTCCAAGAGAAGGTGTGTGGGCAGAGCTGCACCCTGTCTCCTGGCCATTCGGGTTTTTACGTGTAGAATACTTAATGGCCACCTATGCTTTCCTCGCTCTGGACACAAATGAAGTCACAGCTGTACTTGCCCAGTAGCCTTCATGGCATCAAACCGAGAGGCGCAATCATAAGCTGGCCCCTGCTCCACCAGGACTCGGGGCAAGCAAGCTGCTGCTTTCCCGGAGTGCCTGTCAGGAGACAGTTTGGGGACAGCTCACAAGAAAGATGGGGCAGAAAGTGAATGGCTCTTGTCCCATGTCCCTGAGTCCGAAGCCTTGCTACCTCTCCCAGTCAGAGCCTTGACTCTGTGCTCTGGAGTCCATGCCAAGCCTGAGCTGAGACAGTTTTTCCACTGGCCCAATAAATGGTGTGTAGCCAGCAGGAGAGCCACACTCTGCACCTGGCTCTCTTACTACCCACAAGGTGCATGGTGCAAGTCTATAAACCTCTCTGTGGCAGGTGTCGTTATGGCGACACTGGGACAGGAAGGGTCAGTCTCGCAGGATCCCAGGAGCGAGTCAAGGACCAGAAAACCTGGAGCCCTGCGTTGGTGGCACATGCCTTTAATCCCAGCACTCCAGGAGGCAGGGGCAGGTGAATCTGTGAGCTCCAGGAAAGGCTCCAAAGCTACACAGAGAAACCCTGTCTCAAAAAACCAGAGAGAGGGGGGGAGAGAGAGAGAGAGAGAGAGAGAGAGAGAGAGAGAGAGAGAGAGAGAGAGAGAGAGAGAGAGAGACAGAGACAGAGACAGAGAGAGAGACAGAGAGAGAGAGACAGAGAGACAGAGAGACAGAGAGACAGAGAGACAGAGAGACAGAGAGAGAGAGAGAGAGAGAGAGAGAGAGAGAGAGAGAGAGAGAGAGAGAGAGAGAGAGAGAGAGCTCCTCCTGGATCTGAATCCCTCAGAGTTTCCAGAGTTGCCCAGTGTGCAGTGTGAGCCTCATATCTCTGACTCTTCTTCAGTTCTGACTCCTGCCGGGTTCCTCCTCCTCCCCTGGGGCTTTTAAGAAAGTGTTTTGGAGCACAGCCCCATTTCCCACTGGGGTTTCTGTGTTCTCCCACAAGGGCTTTTGTGTCTCCCATCAGGCCTTGCTTTCTTGTTCTGGGGCCCATCCTCCTTGGCTCCTGAGGGCTCTGGAAACCTCACAGTGGGGAGTCGCCTGTGTGGAACCTTCTAAGCTGGGAGGTTGTGCAGAAATGTGTTCTTTCACTTTGTTCTGACCAAAGAGCCTCTTTAAAAACATCAGGGCAGGTTTTCAAGTGACTGTAAGTGATTTCCCACAGAAGCAAAGAGAGGAAACCAAAGCCTCCAGTCCCAGTTGGAAGCAGCAGTTACTCAGCCCCAGACTATGAAGAGCTCAGTTTGAATTATGCAGAGGAGGAAAAAACAAGCCCCCCTGTCTGGATTCCAGAAGAGTCATTCACAAGGTGTCTGCATTTATTAATGGATTTTTCCCTACTGTGGAAAGTAATAAGCCATAGAAACCCCTGGAATTAAAAGCAGTGTACAAGGGAGGGCCTGATTCTTTCTGGGGTCTTTTCATACTGCACATTTCAGAGGACCAGCCCCTGAGAGTTCTGGAACCCCAAGGGTAACCCATTGGCTGTACTCAGGAGCCAGGACCTCTAAGCTTTTTGCCTTGTATTTGTTAGGGTTGTCCAGAGCCTGGCTGGACCTGGCTCCTCACTGAGGACTGTGCCTGGCCCAGGGGCCACAGTTTCACCAGCTGCCAGCTGCGACCCTCCTGACCAGGTAGCAGAGAGCCTGCGTGTGCAGGAGTGCTTAGGGTCCCGCCCCTGGGAGCCCTGGCACAGGCACACCTGGAGGCTTCCAGTGAAGTCTGAGGTCCAGGGCTGAGGGTTACATGTTTAATGGGCATCCAAGGGGCTATGCCTTCTGACACACTTCAGAAGGAACCGTGCTTCTGGGATTGGTGGTCAGCTGTAAAGGCTCCGTCTTCAAAGCAGTAAGGCTGGCCAAGTTCACCTGCACCCAGGACGGAGCACTCTCAAGGCTGCCACCTCTGACAAAGGGATGCCACTTGCTCTGAGGGCTGCAGTCACTAGCTCCCTACCTCCAGGAAAGAGCGAGACTGCTCTCCCATGGTATCTGCTGCAGGCCCGGCTTATTCCAAACTGGTTGCTGTGTGGACTCGCCTTGCTGAGAGGCTGCACCTTCTGTGGTGGGGACGCACACCTTGGACTGTGGATTTAGTTCTCCATTTTCCTGCCAGCTCCAATTTTGCTCTACTCACCCACAGATGAGTAAGTCTCTATTCGTCATTCGGATGCACCCACCACACGAGGCAGCTTTGTCACATTCTTATTAGACATCACTGGGAATGTCACAGGCACTAGGCCCCAGTGTCCATCTGCAGGACTAAGGTGTTCCACAAGACAAACTGCTCACCCAGCCTCTGGCCCTACCTCAGACACCTGCCTTGGTCTGCGCCCTCAGGCTCTGGCAGCCCAGTTTCTACCAGCAACCCTGTGTTTGGTAGTGTGCCCTCCGCCCAAACACTGCTCCCAGCCAGTCTACATTTTCCTTCTGTTGTCCAAGCCTCCACTGGTTACTTCTGTGCTCTTTACTGAGTGCAGTCTGAAGATGGGAGTAAACATCATCCAGGTAACGATGGAACCATGCCTTCAAGCACACCTCACGGAACCCTCTTGACAGTCAACAGCAGAGTACAGGAAGCACGGAGACAGCCGGTTAGTAAGTCAGCTGCCATCTCTGCTGCCGTCCTTTTGGGGGTCTAAGCTCTGGAGACTCCTGCGACAATAGGAAGAAGGCCCTTTTGCCCGCAGGTCCCTGCACTGGACATGCAAGCAAGTGATGAGGCTCTCTACTCCTGGCCAAGCCAAAGCAGAAATAGGAAGCTTGAGAGACAGACCTGGTGTCCCCCTCCATCGAGAAGGCTAGGAATAGCACCCGGCTTCCCATTCCCCGCCTTGGTCCCTTGCGTGCAGGCCTGCAGCTGTCAGAGAAGTTCAGCAATTCCACCAGCCAGCGCTGGCTCTTTGGGAATCACGTCATGTCTACTGGCTTTGGGTGCACTGTGGGAAGTCATTGTAAAGGCTCCCAAGCTAAAACAAGGAAGGAGGATTTTCCAGAAGAGGAGAAAAACGAGGAGCTGAACGGAACAGGACATCTCCCTTAAGCAGACATTGCTGCGAGCTGTGTAGACATGTGGTTTTATCGTCAACCTAGCATGGGCATCTGAAGACCAGAAAGCAGCTAAGAACATCTTTTCTCCTAACCCAGCATTTTTAAGCTCCTAATATTATTTCACATTTAAAGGTGACAGCAATATCTTTAACGTTCTTCTATTGGATTAATAACATTTAATGTTCAAAGCAATAAAGTGGAATGCTTTTATATCACTCATGGAAAACCCAAGTTTAAGGAAAAAGAGACCACACACACACAAATGTCAAGAGCCATAAACTCCAAAATAGGGCGCCTGGGCTTGTGGACAGCCGGGTGGGTAAGTGGGTGTCCTGGCTGTGGCGTGAGGAGGGGGGTCCCCACTCATGGCAGTGAGCATGCCGAGCCCTTGCCCACTCTCCCAACACCCGTCTCCACCCAGCAGCAGAATATGACAATGTTAGCATTTTTCATCCCCCTGACGTTCCCCATTAATAAAGCAATGATCCAAAAGGGGCTTTGCTGAGTCGGTTCTTTATGTGCCCATCACTCACAACGAGATAATTTCACACAGGATCGTTTTAAAATTAAATGACGATAAAAACGCTCTGCTGTTCTGTGTTCACCAGTTCATGGAAGTCTATCAAGTCATTAATGTGTCATGACAAACTGCTCGATGGATACAAGAGTAATTAATTATTTGAATAAATAACAAGTTGAACTTCGGGCTTTGAACCACAGTGACATCAAGCAGCCCGTTAAGGGTGCCTCGGGAGCCTCTTCAGGGCACCGGTGTGAAGAGTTAAAATGTGGGCCAGGGGGTTGGAAGTGAAGAAAACGGATTTCATAAACACAGGGTAAGATTTTATGGGGAGAAAGGCACGGTGACACGTCCCCTTGCCCACCTGCAGTTCAGTGTCAAAAGTTCCTTGGCAGCGGCCGTTTCAAGATACCACTTGATCAGCGATGACTTCAGAGAACAATTAGACAGATTTTCATAATCACCATTAATCTCTGCATATTTTCAGGATAATTACAGCAATTATTATTTAGATTTCTCTTTATATGCCCATTGTAGAAAGGAACAAGTGCTTATTATCCTGGAGACTTCAAAGAACCTTGGGTGAAAATTCTTTGTCATCTCTGTGCTCATTATTTCAACTCGTGTTGCCTGTGAAAGTTCATCAGTTCTAGAAATTAGAGTAATTCCACAGGCGCTGTTATCAAACCTCAAGGCTGAGGTTCAGCTGCTGGAGTGACTGGCTGAATTGTTTGCCAGGGCTGGGGGAGGTGTCGGGAGAGACGGTCATGAGTTGCTGCCAGGTGACAGGGAATGTCACAGGTGCAGTCAGAAACAGGAGGTGGCCTCACACCCATTTTCTCTGGAAGATCTACAAAGTGAACCAGCCGTCAGTATTTAAAGTGTGCGTGGGGGGGGGGTTGGTGTGTGCATGTGTGTGGTTGGTGTGTGCATGTGTGTGGTTGGTGTGTGCATGTGTGTGGTTGGTGTGTGCATGTGTGTGGTTGGTGTGTGCATGTGTGTGGTTGGTGTGTGCATGTGTGTGGTTGGTGTGTGCATATGTGTGGTTGGTGTGTGCATGTGTGTGGTTGGTGTGTGTGTGGTTGGTGTGCGTGTGGTTGGTGTGTGTGCATGTGTGTGCCTGTGTGTGGTTGGTGTGTGTGCATGTGTGTATGTGTGTGTGGTTGGTATGTGTGTATATGTGTGTGCGTGTATGTGTGTGTGGTTGGGGGTGTGTGTGTGCGTGCGTGTGTGTGCATGTGTGTGTGGTTGGTGTGTGTATATGTGTGTGTGTGGTTGGTATGTGTGTGTGTGATTGGTGTGTGTGTGTGTGTGGTTGGGGTGTGTGTGTGTGTGGTTGGGGTGTGTGTGTGTGTGTGTGTGTGTGGTGCCCACATGCCCTCTAATGGTTAATGTTAACCCTCAGTGGCTCACGCCTTTGTACTTCACAGACAGTGACTTGGTAGACAGCAGCACATGTTTGCAGATCGCAGTGGGTGTCACTTCAGTCACTGGCTCAGTCTTAAGCTGCTCTTTCATCCCCTGTCACTGAAACCTAGAGAGCTTACCTGCTGAAAGGCCCCGTGGGGAGGGTGCTGTGGCTCACTGTGCCGTTTTCATCAGGACACGTGCCTCTGTGTGGGTGAGGTGCCCCTTCCCTAGCACAGCCTCCTGGCCATGGTTGATGTTCAGGTCTTCATCCTTCCACACCCTCAACATGCCAGTGGCCAGCAGGGGGCAGCCAGGGTAAACTTGACTCCACCCATCACAGAGAAAGATCTTGGTATTAGGGTGTCACCTTTGGGGTCTGGGTTTGGGTTGGGGGGGATATTTGGTTGTTTGGTTTTTTGTTTTGTTTTGTTGGGGTTCTTTTTATTTTAGTTTGTTGTTTTTTGTTTTGAGGGTTTTTTTTTCTGGTTTTGGTTTTTGGTTTTGTTTTGGTGTGTGTATCTTTGTGTCCGTGTATTTGTGTGTGTGTGTGTGTGTGTGTTGTGTTTGACCTGTGGGTAGTCTCTTCAATTTTACAGTTTTGGGGGGGGGGGGGTTCGAGACAGGGTTTCTCTGTGGCTTGTAGACCTGGCTAGCCTTGAACTCACAGAGATCCGCCTGCCTCTGCCTCCTGAATGCTGGGATTAAAGGCGTGCGCCACCACTGCTCAGCTAGTCTCTTCAATTTTAAATGAAATTTGGGGCACTATATCTTTCTAGCATGTGCTGTTCACAGGCCTGTTCTTATTGCTGAAATACTTGGGAAGATAGGAATCAGTCATGGAATCAAAGTAAAAGCACTGGCTTGGGCTGGGGAGATGGCTCCGTCAGTAAAGTGTTTGTCCTTCAAGCCATGCGGACCTGCGTTCAGTCCCCAGAACCCATGCAAAGGGTAAGAGTCAAATGCAAGTGTATGACCCCAGTGCTGAGGGTGTGTGGGGTGTGCCCAGCCAGCCAATGGGAAACTGTCTCAAAGAGCACACAGGTAGCACCTGAGGACTGACACCAAGACTAACCTCTGGCCTCCGCACACACAGGTGTACACGCACATAGATGTGTGGATAAAGGGATAGGATTGTCCCTTCATCACAGAAACCTTTCTTATGAAACAGAGCTGATTTCTGGACCTATGGCTTCCTCGGTGCCCTTGTGATAACGGACCCACAGCTGGAAGGGCTGGGGTCAGGGTGTGGGACAGATGTGTAGAGTGGAGGCTGTTGAGTCTGGTGAGTGCACAGCAGGAGGTGGCCCAGGCAGGCATTGCTCTGCTGGTTTCAGGGGTGCACAGATAGGCAAAGAGGACACATGGCACGTAATACACAACAGTAGAAAGTGCCGAGCAGGTTGGGGTGTCTGGGTGCTGGGGGTGGGGGCACCCAGAGTGCACAGGACAGTTGGGATCCCAGTGTCAGGGCCTGTGAGCTTCAGGAAAGCTGAAGTCTTCAGGTAAAGGAATGGTACATGAGGCTTGCACTTCAGGTGACCATGAAGGACGTCCCCTGGAGACAGCCCATGGTATGCTACCGCGGCCCTCCTAACGTCTCTCTGTGCCCTGGAGGGTAAGTTCACTCTTCTCAAACATCTGGAAAAGTGTTTCTATCCCATCCTTCATCCCAGTGGAGGCAGTGAACTGAAGCCACCTAGCAGGCCTGACAAACCTGTACCCGCCCCCAGCTATAGGAAGGATACTTCCCCAGATACCCAGGGCTGTGTCCACCTAGAGGGTGCCCAGAGGATCGGAGCCACCCTTCCCCCCTCTGCCCCTTGATTGCAGAAGACTAGAGCAGGACACTGAGTCTCAGACCTACCATTGCTGTCACTTACTGTCTGGTTTTGAGAGGCCTGTGTGTGGGAGCTGAGGTGCTGGCGCCAGCGTGTGTTCCATCTTCGTGGCGTTACGTGCTGTCATGCCGTGCACCAGGCTGTCATGCACCAGGCACTGCTCCAGGAGCTTGGACACATCTGTCATAGAGACATTGGTGGAGCAGGCGTGAGAGGGACATTGAGATGCTTCCTCCCAGCGGCCAGTCCAGAAAGCTCCCCGGCTTCATCCTTGAGTGGAGATGAGCCACAGCCATCACTTCAAATATTTGTGTTACACATTCTCCTGAATCTTTGTATCTCACCTGGAATAACCAACCCATGTACAGAGGCTCAGGGATCAGCATACAGGTGCCAAAGCAGCTGAGAAATCTGTGGGCTCTCTCCTCAGAGATGCAGCGCTCTGTCACCTCCCCTGGGACTTAGGGCCCGAGCTAGCCGGCAGCTGTAATCACTCAGGGCTGTGGGTCAACAGGTAGCTGGACTAGATGGTCATGAAGGGGGCCATTCACACGTATGCGGGAGACAACTTTGTTGCAGTGGGAAGAACAGAGCCAGGACCATTGCCCTTCACTCCACACAACCAGCCCAGCTTGGACACAGCTGGGACCACACTCCTGGGTGTACAAACTGATGTCAAATAGACATTGTAACACCATTAGCCAAAGCAAGTCACATTGCCAAGCCCTGATGGAGGAGAGAAAAAGCAGGTTACACTTCGTGGTGGCACCCATGTCAAAAGTGCTTTGCAGAGGGGTGTGTGCCGGGTTAGGTTCATGTGACAGTTTTGCAGCCTGCTCACTCTCAGAGACACCGCTGGACTCTGACTGCTGTTGGGGGCCACTGGGGAAAAGAAAGGATCCCACTGTTGAAATTATTTGCATCTACTTTAGAGTACTTTCTGTGATGCCTCAGAGATATATACTTTATAATTAAGAAATCTAGTGTTTGAGATAATTCCTATTAAAATTGGATGTCAGCCCTGGGGTAGACATAATAACCATGCATGTGTACTACTGACTTGACAGGAGGTCGGGCTAATTGAAACACCACACCCCTCCTCCGTGGGCGACTAGAGTCGGGGGAGAGCCCTGTCTTGCCCTCTAGTGTCTTGTGCCTGGGGTCTGTGCTGGACCCTGCTCCCTAGCCTGAGCTCGTGTTCAGTTTCCGCTGGCATAAGCGTATGTCTGGCAGGGACAACACCAAAGTTGTTCTATCTTCTTCCTCGGGGTAGATATGGGGGGATCCATGAGCTGTCACAACTCAGCACTGGGGTTGGGTTTTCACTGTGAAGTCACTGTTGTCCCTTCCGTAATGAGCGTGAGGTCTGGGGAGGGAGATGCTCTTGGATACTAAGAATAGCCCGTCCCTTGGCACACTTGACTTATGCTCACTGGACTTGGCATTTGATGAGAGGGAGGGCCTTCCTCTCAGCCTGTGTGTGTGTTTTGAACCAGTGGTTCTCATTTGTTTACCCTTTTTCTTCCTGAGACAGGGTCTAGCTATGTAACTCAGGCAGGTTTTGAATTTTCAGTCTCCTGCCTCAGCCTCCTGAATTTGGTATCACAAGCACACACATCTGTTTCAGTCCTCATCTTCTTAGATGCTCAAATCGCTCTGAGTTAACCAACATCCATGCTTCTATGGTTCTGCAGAGTATATTTAGTTTCTGGCTTTCCTTTCCAGTCTAGAATCAGCCATTTCTATGAGAACCTGCTTCTAATAGAGCAAGGTGTAAGAAGAGAAATCTAGGGCTCTAAGCATGCACACTGCTTCCAAGTGTGCTTGAATCTAGGCCCTCAGCTGAGAAGCATGTGTTTGTGCATGTGTATACCCACACAGTTCTGTATTTATATTTATGCATGAGTACCCAGGCGCTACCTCCAGCTAGACACCGAAACCAGGTTTGTGCTGGCCAACCCCATTCTGGTCCACATCACACAGTGTGTCTGAGCTCCCTGTGCTTTCTGAAAACTCCAGGACCTCTTCTTCAGTTGAAGCACTGGATCCTGGATCCTACAGTAGCATTCCTCTGCTCTGCCCTGGGCTGGCTTCCAGGGTTTTCTTCCAGGTCATCTTCTCTCTTCTCTCTTGGCTCTATTGTCAACGTGCTAGCAACTCCCAGATCTCTCTCTCTCTCTCTCTCTCTCTCTCTCTCTCTCTCTCTCTCTCTCTCTCTCTCTCTCTCTCTCTCTCTCTCTCTCTCCCTCCCTCCCTCCCTCTCTCCACTTATCTCCTCTCCCCCCTCCCTGTCTTCTCTCTTTCTCCCTCTCTCCCTCTCTCCCTCCCTCCCTCTCTATGTTAAGAGAAGCTTTTTCTTCGAGAGAAGCCTTCCCACCAGCTTGGTTCCAGAGCCGCATCAGTCTCAAATAAACACACAGGAGGCTATATTAATTATGAAGCTGTTGGCCTTGCTTGTTTCTTACTGGCTTGCTCTGACTTAAGTAATTACCCCATAATTGTTAATCTAAGTATTTCTCTTACCGGAGAATAGTTCCAGGCTTCCTACCCCATGGCGTTACATGTCGAACTCTCCTGTGTTTTTCCTTCCCAGAATCCTCCTGGACTCCTAGTCCCACCTATCTAGATTCCTATTGGCCAACAGTGCTTTATTAACAAATGTACAGGACTTCCCCCATCACCTCTCCTCTCCCTTCCTCCCTTCCCTTCCCTCCTCTCCCCGTCTTCTCTCTTTCTCCCTCTCCCCCATACCCTCTCTCCCTCTTATCTCTATCTCCTTCTCCCTCTCCCCTCTCAGTACACCAGGCCTAGTACTTTTTTTCTTGTCCTTAGTTAGTCTCTTGCCGGTGGTGTTCCAACCCACAGGAAACAGTTTTCCTCTGCTGGACATCACAAATGCCCCACAGAAAGCATGTGCCAGATGGAAGCCCCGGCTCACCTGCTGCCTGCTGGCTGCCCACCCTCACAGCAATTCCTGGCGTCACACTCCACACCCTGGGTTCCTCCTGTTCATCCAGCCCAGTTCCCAGGCTCTCATTTCTTCCATCGATGCTTGCTTTGGCGTTCCCTCTCCTAACTCCTTTTGCAACAGCCCTTGCCCCAGCGGTCTGCACCAGCCTCTCCACCTGTATTAGTACGGTTTGGGTGATGGAATAAAACACCATGGTTAAAAGCAACCTGGGGAGAAGTTTCACCCTATCCTTCCACATCACAGTCCATCATCAAAATCAGGGTAGGAGCTCAGGGCAGGAACCTGGAGACAGGAACTAAAGCAGAGGCCATGGAGGAATGTTGTTTACTGGCTTGCTCTACATGGCTTGCTTCTATATTCCAACCCGGATTGCAGGCCTAGAGTGGCACCACCCCCAGTGGGCTCAGGCCCTCCCACATAATCCTTAATCCAGAAAATACCCCCACAGACTTGCCTACAGGCAGCCTGATGGAAGCATTGTCCCAGTTGAATCCCTCCTTCCATATACTTCTAACTTGTGTCATGTTGAACAAAAACAAAACAAGCAAACAAACTAGTCAGGACAACTGACCTCTTATCAACTTGGCATCCTGATGCATTACAATTAAACCGTACCCTTTCCTTTTATGTTTATCCCCAACATCGTAATATCAATATCACAAAATAAAAAAGATTACAATTTAACAAAAAAATACCCAGTCTTTAAAAATTCAAACACTTTAAAAACCCAGTGTCTTTAAAACATCCAAAGTCTCTTTCAAAATTCAAAGTATCTCTAAAATATCTAAAGTCTCCTAACTGTGGACTCCTGTAACATCAAAAAAATGGACTACATGTTTCTTATTTAAATAGGAAAAGCCCGGGCACAGTTACAATAATTTCAAAGTAAAACTGAAGTTCAACAGTGTATCTTGAATTCACTCCAGATCCTCTGGCTTCCACGGGTCTTACACAGCTCCATCCCTCATGCTCTGCCAAACATAGCACTCAGCACTTCTCACAGGCTCAAGCAGGCTCCACTCCACAGCTGCAGCTGTCCTTGGTAGTCATCCATGGCACTGGCATCCCCAGAACGCTAGAGTCTTCACTGCAACTGGGCTGTATCTTCACCAGGAGCTTTTCCCGAGGGACTCTTACCCGGCCACATGGTGCCAAGCCTCAACTTCTCCTCATGACTTCCTCAGTCCCGAGGCTTCTATAGCAACTGAGACTGTGTCTTCACCAATAGGCTCTCCTGATGCCAAGCCTCAGTTGCTCTCCATGACCTTTGCATGCCTTCAAAACCAACATCACTTGGAAGACTCTTACAAGGGTCTTACTCTTGCTTCCGTATACTGAGCTCTGCTGCTGGCTTGAGATATAGCCCTGGCCCTCTCTGGGCCATAGCTTCTGTGTTCTGAGAAAACACCCCCCAGATTTTACCTCAATGATGCTGGTCCTTTCTTAATCACAGCTTAATCTTCAGCTCCAGGTGACCAGTATAAATTGTACCAGCAAAGCAAAGGCTTCACTTTAGTGGTTCTAGTCTCTTGTTAATCACAGCCAATTCTTCAGCCCCAGCTGATCAGGCCTACGTAGTCTTGTTTAAAAAATAGCACAGGACAGAGTCTTTACTTCCGTTGGAAACTGCACGAGCGGAGTCTCTGCCATCTGCGCTGCCCTCAGCATTATGTCCTAAATTCCCACAACAGCCCAAAGTTGAAGTGACTTAGCCCTCCCAAACACATTCAGGTTGTCACAACAGTACTCCACAAACCCAGAGTCAGTGTCTGTCTCAGGGTTTCTGTTGGTGTGATAAAACCCCATGGCCAAAGCAACTTGGTGAGAAAAGGGTTTGTTTCATCTTATAGTTCCTTATCACAGTCTATCAAAGGAAGTCAGGCGGGAACCTGGAGGCTGGAGCTGATGCAGAGGCCATGGAGGGAGCTGCTTCCTGGCTTGCTCCTCGTGGCTTACCCAGCCTGCTTCCTTACATCAACCAGGACAGTGTGCCCAGAGATGGCCCCACCCACAGTGATCTGGGCCCTCCCTTGTCAATCATTAATTAAGAAATGCTCCATAGGAATGGGAAAAACGTGATCAAAATCTATTATTTTTTCAATTAAAACAAATGTTCATAGATTTGCCTACAGGCTCTGATGGAGGAATTGTCACAATGGAGTCTCTTCTTCCCACATGATTCTAACTTGTGTCAAGTTGACAAAAAAAGAGCTAGCCACATGGTTCTTCTGGTCTGGTCACCCTAGCTAGACTGGAGTTGGGAGTGGCCCCATGGGCAAGGGTCACATCCTGAAGTCGACTCTCCCTAGTCCTCCCAGCCCACAAGCCTTTGTATAATTCATCTGGCAACCATTTGGGATGACAGTTAAGGCACTGGCCATGACTGCACCCTTCTCCTATGCAATTGTTAAAATGTCCAAGTTGAGCCTCACCTTCTGATGGAAAATTTCACAGCTAAGTGAAAAAGTGCAGAGAAGTTACACTGTGATGCTCGATTTGTTAACACACACACACACACACACACACACACACTAAGTATATTTTCTTTATACATGCAGGCATACATAAAGGTACAGAAAACAGCTAGGGGCCCAAGTCCCATGCAGACCCCTGGCCTGGGGTTCAGGGTGTTTTAACTTAGCTGGCCTTTGAGGATGAATTCCTTGGAAAACAGATTCATATATTGACACATTCAAACAATACAATTTAGCCTAGTGGCGGTGGTGCACGCCTTTAATCCCAGCACTTGGGAGGCAGAGGCAGGCGGGTCTCTGTAAGTCTGAGGCCAGCCTGGTCTACAGAGCGAGTTTCAGGACAGCTAGAGCAACACAGAGAAACCCTGTCTCAGAGAAAATAAAAAGAAAAGAGAAATTTCGATTTAAAAGTGTTTGTGTTGGTGTTAAGGTAACACGAGCCGTCGATGGG